TAAGTACTAAGTGTTCATGACCACATGCCTAATTTGTAGATAGACATAATAACGTAAGTCACGTTAATACATTAGCTGATATAAATAAAGTTCCATCTGAAGAAAAGTTAAAAAAGAAAAATACTTATTGGATTTTGGAGATTGGCGGGAGGACCAAAATCTATAAGTAGTAGTTCGGAGATTATAAAATTTAGTTTATAATATCCTACATCTACTAATGTCTCAAATAGGTCCAAGTAGATGAGTCATACCAAATACTCAGGCTATTGGAGCCATCAAAGTGAATTTAGAACACTTTGGGAATATTGGAAAAAGAGCTTGTATTAAATTATTTAAAATACAAATAAAAACCAATGTATTATCTCAATTGATCTTGATATTTTAGACTGACCGGAGGCCGTATTTCTACATAGCCATATAAGCCGCAAACGCAAGGCGCGAATGAAACGCGCCATAGAAGACTTAAGTTCTTTTTGCGTACAGCATTAACGGATGATGCATATGATTGGCCGTACCACCGTCAGTGGGTGCAAACACAGATGGACGTATGTGCTGATCCGGTTACAGAAACTACACCCGCTCACTATTTTCGTGGCAGATATAGTGAGTTACAAATCCCTTTTAACAAGGACGAACCCAATCACCATGAGTTACCATGGTTAGAGAAGGTCCAACGTATTTATAGCGTTGTATATCCTTGCTTGCGAGAAATACGCAATATAGCCTTATTAAAAAGGCAAAAGCGTTGGAACACTACCAAGAAGATAGCAGAGTATCAGGTTGGTAACAGAGTTAACATCCGGCAACGTAATTCCGATACTACTGTATTAACTTCTAAACGGGAACGTACGAATGGTTCTAGTGCGCTTAATATAGGCACAAGTCGTATTCCGACTACAGAGATTATACTCGCAAGAAGACATGACTCTAATGACCCTCTTGATCGTTCTGAATTTAAAAACATTATATGGAGAACGGATAAGGGAGGCTATACATACTATCGTACACGCTTTATAGACGGTACAATAGCTAAGTTGACTTCAGATACTTTCGATAACCAAGACTATTTAAAAGCCTTTAATCGAAAATGACGTAAACGCCTGCATAAGTCACAAGCTGAAAAATATAGCATGTTTCCATCGTCTGAAGGAACGGAAGTTAAAACTTATTCGCCTACAGCATTTATCCCGAGCCTTAATGCTCATCCTTCATATGTGCTTAAGACACTGAAGCGTAAGGAACGTCCAGTCGACCACCACGGACCTACTGGACCTAAGCCCAAAACTCACAGGGTAACCGAGAACACTTAACTTCTCCGCCTGAGAAACACTAACTATATGTTATGCTACTTAATGTTTCGACTCGATTTTTTCTTTCTCGTTTTTTGACTCATAATCAGCTTGAGTGAGCAACCTGCTTCTCTTGGGTCTCAAAGCTGGGTGGGGGCTGTGTAATAAGCCGGGCCTCCACATTAGACTCTTATGTATAAACGTAATTTTCAGCAGTACGCAAATTATAAACGTACTCTTAATAGTACGAAGAACTTAAGTCTCCTAAATGTGCTCTTAATAGCACGAGGAACTTAAGTTTCCTAAAATGGCTTTTAATGGTTTTATTAATTAATACCTTTTCCATTAACATATCAGATATTTGGATGAGGCCATTAAAAGGCCTCAGTAAAATACCAAACATAAAAGAGTTGGTCTAGTTCTATTAATTGAGCTTTATTTACTTTCAAAACATATCTGAATACTTCGGTGGCGAGATGGCTCAACCGAATATAGGTTTCTATGGACTATTAACGCTACCTAGAGTTATTGGTTAAGACAATAACTAAAGACGTCAAGAGTAATTTTTCTTTTCTTCTAAAGATAGGATTTTACGAGTCTCTCGGATTCACCCCAGAATAGAGTGACAACGAAACACTAAACCACTAATCGATTCGTCAAAGTTATGTTGGTCTGCGGCTAGCAGCGCCAAGTTAACTCGCGTCTGTTGATAGTTGATTTCTATCACTCCATCTGCTAGCCATTTCTCAACTTGTTCTTTTACCACAGCCTCGTATCTCTAGGATACATAGTTCCTTGAGGGACACTTTAACTGTGTAAAGTCTACCTTAGTTAAGTCAAGGCTGACATATCCGTCGTTAAAGCGGAATTTTGCCCAATCTGTGATCTTTATCTTCTTATTAACTAGAATCAGATCCATGATTTTGTTCGCAAAGTCAGGTATTAATGCCTTGACTGTGTCTGACGGGGGCTTATATGGATTCAGACAATTATCGTCTTATTGAATCTTTAATGGATCTATGTTATTTGGTAGACCCGTTACGGTTATACCTAGAGTGAGTAAATCGCTCATTCCGACTATAATGTCGTACTTCTGTGACACCTTAACTATCACAGCTTGGGGGCAGTGATATTCCTACTATTGGCCAAGGAGATTTTATTATCTGTGGCCATGGTATCACACTTTGCAGTTTTATCATCAGCTAAAATGAGGTGAGTTGTTTATGTTCTTCTTTCGATATCTTTCATTAATGCAAAGCGATCGGATATACATGAAATTTCTGAACCAGGATCAATCAACGCAAGGATTTTATTTCCATTGCAGTATACAGGGATTATTACACGCTCATCTAAAGAGTCGTTGTATTGTCTGTGTAACGATTGTACCTGGTAGTACCTTCACTCCAACTTAATGTTGGGCTTTTTGTCACAAGACTTAGTGTGATAGCCATTGGTCTTCTCACACTTGTCGCACTTAATAGGAAAGTGTGTACAGGTGGATGCATGTCTGCCATTCCAATAACCGTTAGGGGTTAATTGGTACATGTCATACCCACACTGTGCGTCGGCACATTTTTTAATATCCTTAAATGAAGGTTCCATGTCCTTCGCTCCCGCGCGTGCCCGTTTATTGGGTCGCGTGGATAGAGTGGAGTCGCGAGCACGTGTATGTTGGGGTCTCTCGTTTGAGATCTGCCTGGATACGTACCCGTAATCGGTGCGCTCCCGCGGCTTCTTAACAGCCGCTTTTCCCTTCGCTGATACTCGATGTGCTGGGAAAAGGGTGAATACAGTACCATAAAACTGTTCCCACGTAAGTCGGGATAGATAAAACTTTGTTTCATGTCCCTTGTCTCGAGCCTCAGTCGCGTGTTTACGTCGCAACTCGGTGTACAGGCTCTCGCGGTCGTTATTCCATATGTTCTTACAGAACACGTGCATAACCAGGAACTCGTACCATCGCTGTGCCTTGTCCTTTGTTATATCTGGACGTTTCAGGTCAGCATCTAGCTTCAGAATATAACTCTGAATGGGCGTGTTCTCAACTGGTTCAGTTAAAATTGAACTCAGTCCAGGGCTACGCATGTCTTTACTTAACAAGGATGTATCCAACCAACACACGGCAAAATGGAAAAGGTATTAAATTAATAAAACCATTAAAACCCATTTTTGGAAACTTAAGTTCCTCGTGCTATTGAGAGTACATTTAGGAAACTTAAGTTCCTCGTACGTATCATACATACTTGTCATTTTTGAAATAAATAATATTATTCCTATTAAGAGTACATTTAGAAAACTTAAATTCCTCGTACTATTAAGAGTACGTTTATAATTTACATACTGCTTAAGAGTACGTTTATAACATCGAGTCTAGTGTGGAGGCCCGGCTTATTACACTCGTAATTACTGAGTCGCTGGCATGATACAATATCAAAGTTTCATTTTGATATAAAACATCTGCCAGGAATACATAACCATTTACCGGATATGTTATCACGCTTCGTACCTCTCACAATACAGAAGCATATAATCAATGTCACTTCAGATACAGTAATCAACCATACCGATTTGTTGGAGGTAGACGATCTGCTGTTCAGCTCCTTGTGGGGCTAATATAAACGGCAAATCGTTCTCAGCTAGCATGACCATTATCACCCTTGCTGCTATTAAATTGTAAGCTCCGACTGTAGTCTTGCACTCCTTATACAAGCTTTCTCCCTCCTCGCCTACATCTTCTTAAAGTATTTTTGCTACTTTCTTTAGCGCATCTGATCGGTTAGTGGTTCGCGATGCATTCACTTGCTTTCCACTCACCCGTTTCCCATCGAATACTGGTAGCACTGTGTTATCATTTCCCCAACTCGCAACTCCGGGTATCGTACGCCATATTTCTGTCTTGAAGAGATCATAACAATCACGCTTATCCTTCGAGCTAACTATTTATGTCGCATGCATGGTCTAAAATTTATGAATCATTATTGACATGATACCACTGTCTTCGATCCCTGTATATTCTATGTGAACAAAGATTTCACCCATCAATGGCAGCAGACCGTCTACACCCATGATGTTTGAACTCTCCTAGTTACTACAAACCTTGTATTGCAAACGTGCACGCATATATGCATATATGTATATATACCTTAAAAAAACTAACACGTGTTTATCAGTAAATCTGGTACAAAAGTACGTACTATAGGGTTTAGGGTTTATAGGTCAGATTCTGTGAAAATCTGTCCGGTCTGATAATGCCACCAATATATGTTTACCGTGCCTATTGCTTTCAAAAGAAAACTCTGTGTATTTAAAAAAAAAATAGGTTTTGTAAAAAATCTCCTAAACCACCCCCAAAATAAGTACATCCCGCTGGGAGGCTGGGAGTCTGGGACTATGGGTTCTCTGGGTCCTCTCTGGGTCCTCTCTGGGTCCTCTGGGATCCTGGGTCGGGTCCGGGCCTGAGAGTCTGGGACTCTGGGGCCCTAGACATAGCCTTCTGTTCAATTTAGAAGGCTAGGGCTTGTGCATAGCCCTCTAAATTACATATAAAGGGCCATGGCTCATGGCCTGTGCCTGAGACTCTGAGGCACTGTCCGACAGCCACTGTCCAAACCCCATTTGCTGATCTGGCACCCACTACGAGTGAAACGCCACTGACACGTATCATGACACTCCAGTCTCCAAGCACGGCGTACTGCGTAGTGAACGGTCAGTCGTATTTAAAATCGGCGCAGAGGCACAGAGGGCCAGAGGCTTAGTGGCATTTTTAAATACTTTTGATTTAAACTCTGAACTCTGAAGTCAGTCAGTCACTTGTGTGACAGGCTGGAACCTGGAGCTGGTTACTCTGCTTTTTTTAATTTTTTGCTTTTCTATTTTTATTTTTCGTCACGTATGTGTGTAAATATTTACAGTATGACATTGATTTTACAAAACCAAATCATTTATATTATTTTTTACAGAGCCTCCAAATTCCAAATGAACTTCATAATATTCATTCAATTAAATAAATAGTAATTTTTTTTTACATCACTAATATGACGGTCAAAGACATCCAAAAGACAGCCAAAAGGAGGGCTGTCTGATAGTCGCTGAACATAGTTTGTGTAAACAGCGTATACAGCCAAAGCGGGGGAAACAATTATTTGATGAGAACACTGGATTCACCGTACATACCTCGAAATAGTGGTTATATCAACAACAATGCCGATATGAGTAAAACAGAATGCACGCAGGGTGGCACGCAGGGTGAGACTTCTCCATTGCTAGGAGGCAAGGATGGCAGCATCGAGAAAATTGTGCACAGCTACGGGGTGTCTGACAATGTTGAGCACTCCTCTACACCTACAAAACATAAGACAAAAGCAAGTTATGAAAATATCAATTCCCAAATGAACCACTTACAACCTACGGATAAAGGAGGAAGAAATTTGATTGATAGAGATGCATTGAAGTTAAGCAAGGAGGAGAAAGCTGTGCTGGTCATACAGCGATTTGTCCACAAATGGCGGTTTAAGAAGCATATGAGAAGCGCTTGTGCCTTCCGAACCCTGGTAGAAGCCCCTCCTCAACCGATAACCATGGTTACGTATGTGAAGGCGGTTGTCACGCTGGTAGGGCTGGCTTTAATGTGGCTGGGTCTGTGGACACAGTTTGATGTCGGGTTATGGCAGAAGGATCTATTTCCTAATACTTTTGTCAAAGATACCATATTCCTAGTCGTTGGTGTTTTGTTGCTCTGTTCAGTAGACTGTTACTATATAGACGGTGGTATGGAAGGAACCCTGTTGTATCCGGAACCTAGATGGCTTATACGGGCGAACTCGTTTCTACTACGGCGTGGCGAGATGTTCTACAGGTGTGTAATAAATATCGTCGAGGTTATGCGCTTGCTAGCGAGCCATTTGGGATCAGCACTGGTGTGGTTTGCCTTCTACGACTTAGTGGATAAGGTTTGGCAGGAACCAGGTGATCGTAAAAACGGAGTCGCACCGTTAGAGTACACATTTGACACATACACGTATACGATTGATGATGTGAACTATGTGGATATACTCCATTTGTCGGAGGCCTTCAGACCCGCCTACAACGTGCTGTTGTTCTGCCTGGGACTGGGCATCACTGTTTGGACCGGGTGTTTCCTTACAGTCACTGGCATTGAACCTGAAGATGACGATGATTCAACGTACGTTGATCTGACCAATCCATCGAGCGACCACTTGCAATTGGCTGCACTCACTTTGTTGTCTCTTTTTGGCCAGGCGCTCATATGGGTAGGGGCAAATAACTTTTTGGAAATGGATTTGGGCTGGGAGTGCATATGGCGTGAGTTGTTATATATAATAATTGGGTTTGCGGCATTCATGCTCTCCGATTCATTTATATCGAACGGTTGCATCGAAACCAAAGATACCCCGGAGCAATATACGGAAGACAGCATAGCCGACGAGAATGAACGAGAAAGTGCCGGCAAGAGTCTAGTAGGGCGAGATAAGCCCAAAAACACATCGAAGAAGAATCAGCAGACAGATGAACAGAAATGGGAAAGTGGTGATCTCTCTTTAAAATCTATTTACCTGCGCTCGATGCTCTCCTTGGTCGGCGCTGTGACGCACAACACAGCCATGTGGCAAATTGCTGACACATACATATACCCGTCGGCATGGGGTCAATGCTCGCACAACGGCACCAGCAATGACCCTGACTGGCCGTGCGCAAAGAGAGACTTGATGTACATGTGCATCGGTATGGTCATGCTAATTGCTACACGCACCGCTACCCAGGCTGTAGGTATCAGTATCAACCCTCTTTCCACCGCCCCAGGCATCGGGCAGAAGCGAACTAGTCGCGTGCGACGTATGCGCAAGGAGCTGCTCCTGCGCAAGTATGTGAGTGCGCTGATCGACAATACATTGAAGTCTGGAGATAAACTGGACTCTTTGATCACAAATGGGTCTCGGAGAGAGTGTAAAAACAGGGCCAGGAGAAGCGGCCGGGAATTGAGACCGGCCGCGGAGAAGCTCGTTTAGACCGTGTTAGAAAATCGTTCGTTACTGGCTTGGTTTATTATTACTGAAGTGCGGGTACACAATGGCAAAAGTCTGCAAACTTGCACATTCACAACAACCGGAATGGACTGGCGTAGTGAGGACTTGACCATACGCATTGGTATCGCATTAAATAACACGGGCGAAGGTCTGTAAAGTTTTCTGTAGTAGGTACGATACCTTGCAACACGTTTCTGGGTCTGGTAGTGAGTAATCCCCAATTGAAGCTTACTACTAAGGTGGATTGGGTGGGACGTCCGCAAATATTTTACAAAACCGTATCTCGGCCCCGCTGCTTATATAGCCAAACTATGATATTACTGGTGTCACCCAGCGTTGTTGGTATGTTACGACTCCCTTGTGTCAAGTTTGCGATACAAGTATAAGTATATATATATATATATATATATATATATATATATATATGTTGTGTGTATGTAT